TATATTATGTATGTACGACTGTTGATTTATATATTATGGCAACCACATTAGTCGTTAAAAAATGACAAAGTAATATTATTATGACCATGATTCAAGTAAAAAGTAGTCAAAAGAGAATATTCTAAAAAATTAAAAATCTTATATAGAAGCAATCTTTTTATATTATTATATTTTAAAGTAACTATAAATTACTGCGTACAATTTACAATTTTTTAATTTTCTATTATCATGGTAATTTCTTCTTTTTTAAATAAATTACATTTTATATACGTATTCACGTGATTAGATATCTAATATACAAAATTAGATACATTATCAGAATATTTCTTGAGTATATGTACTTTATGAATTATATTAATTTAATAGCTAATATGTTTATACACAGTCGTAAATTATCATATCATTTTACGGAAGGCTTACTCTGTTATTCATTGAACATATAATAAAAGAATAGCAAAATATTGTGAAAGAAAAAGAAAAGATTCAAAAAGAACTCAAGTGACAATATTTAGGATTCAGAATAATACGTACAAAAGAATATATCGCGTCCTACACTTTGCACAAAATAATCTTATTCGTAAAGGATAACCATGAAGAAATTTGTGGATCGGCAAGGATGCGCGAACTAAAATATATCAAGAATCCGCTGTTTTTTTGTCATCAATTATTAAATGACTTAAATCACTTTTTAACTCTTTATCGATTCATTCAGGTGATTCTACAAATATCATCAGAATCAACTGAAAGTCTGCGCACACTAAATGGTATTGCAACCTTTTTATGGAAATGACATAGCTTTGTCAAATGTACATATCCATGTTAAACTTTGCAATTAAGTTAATGAGAGATATCGATAAAGGATTAAATAACATTAAAAGTAGAAATTAATAAGTGGATAATAAATTTGTAGAGATTGTCTTTTTATTTGACATCGAATATTAAAGTATCCGTTGGTTTTTAGGGCTTATTTTTTTCTACTTTTACGAATAAATGAACCAATTAATATGAAGAAAAGAATTATGGCAAAAAAGATGATGAAGAATTTACGCTCGTTTTCATGAACTAAAATTAGCATGAACTAAGATTAGTTCTATTTCTATATTCTAGCAATGCTAAATACGAATTTGCAAATTATAAATTAATATATATGTATAACTTAATATATCATTTACAATTTAATTATGAATGATTGCCTCCGCAATCTGTAATTATACGAGATTATGCGTACTATATTATATACGGATGTATTATTATTATTATTATTATTATCAGTCAATATCATATTTGTTATTATCATCATTTATTACGCAAGCCCTTCAGGAAACAATTGTATATAACTTTTCCTTTTTGTGTATTCCGGACGAAATGTATATTTTAATAAAATATCCAAAGTATGGAATCTTTTAACGTTAATATATTAATCTTTTTTTTTAACATTATTTTTTTAATATTCCATTACGAAATTATAAATATATCATTATTGTTATGTACATCTCGTTCACGCTACTTATTTTAATATTTTATATAATACTGCTTACATAAAAATATAATTATATAACATAACAATGTCATTTACATAATATAATCGGGTCACACTAAATAAGAAATATGAAATTAACACAAAATACAATATGTGGTTGAAAGATTATTATAATCTTCAATAATTTAAAATTATACTTTTCCTGCCGTATCTATATTTTATCAATTTTATTATTGCATTTTGATTTAATAAAATCCGATTATATTATATAAATATAAAAGTACTCACTCTTTCCACGCAATGCAGAATTAAAATGAAATAAAATGCTTTTTAATTCATGTACTATACATAGGAAAAAAGCTATTTTCAAATCGCTATTATGTTTCATCTTTTTTGCACTAATAATGAATTTTTACGGTGAAAATAAAAATAAGAGAAACAACTTTCAATGGCCGATAAACTGCTGATAATTTAATCATCGAGAGCTCTGTATTTGCATTGCTGAAGAGGACTTTAAAATGAGTCGACAAATATGTACAATCAATTTGGAATGATGATGACATCCTTCCTGTAATAAAAGTTTTGACATCATAAAATTTTGTGCTTTCTAATCGCACTATACTGTCGTTATGCTTTAATTAAATTTGTTATATTTAAAATTTTGAGTCCACGTAATTTTGTTATATTTTAATATATTTTTCTGATAAGACTGTATTTTGGGAAGTAAACGAAAATATGAAAAGCAGTTAATGTTAAACTTATCTAGTTCTTAAATCCGACATTCGTAATTATAACCAATTATTAGGTGCTAAATTTAGTTTCCGCGGGTTAAATGGTGCTAGTAATTTATATATACATCTAACAACTAGTATAGCTCAATGTTGTTCTTGACCTGGGAGGATTATTAAGTTTAATTTGGAAAATTTATTTGAGCGGATATTAATTTAATTTTTACAAGATTGAAATCAAAATTAAGTCAATCAAAACAGAAAGATTTTTCCTTCAAATCTTAAAAGGAAATGAAGAAATATTAGATATAATTCATTTTAAATAAAAGTTTCGTTTTAGCTCCATTTCAGAAAGAAGTTATAAGCATTTTTTAAATTATAATTTAAAATTGAAAGACTAAACTTTTAGTCCTATTTTTCGAAATTAGCAAAAAGTTGAGAGGTTCTATTGCGTGATTCTAATGAATCTTTAATATCAACATTCCATATGCAGGTACATACAGCATATGCGGCGCAATGTAAGAAAAGAAGGAAGAAGGAAAGAACGCTTCGCGGTTAAACCACAAGAGAGTTGCTGACAATGGAAGCGCACCGTGCCATGAATTGATCATCGATGAATAGAGAAATGCGTGACTCAGAGGTTGCTAAGCATCAAAGTCTGGGATTCTTATGACTGGAAGAAATGCGGGAAGAATTTATATTTCCATCCAAGATATCGCAATGTAAAAATATGCAACCGAATAAACGAGAAAGTGAAAAGATCCGAAATGTTCTTTGCTGCTGGTCTTATAATAGATTCTCTTTTTCGCGAAAATATCTTTTCGCGAAACCTCTTCTTATTACCTTCACTTTGAGCAAAAATTTTTCATTGCAGTTATTGTCTTAATTACCGCTTAATTATAATTAACTAATGTTAAACAAAGTATTTTTTTAAACCATATAATGTGAATACACAACGAATAGGAAATAAAAGGCTCTAAATGATAAAAAAAACTTTAGTGTTTAAATAATTCAGTGTAAATTTATACATATACTACCCAATCCTGCAAACTGCGTCCCGAATTTAATTTTCAGTCTCAAAATGCAATCTTAATAACAGAACTAGAGTAATAATATCATAAATCAAATTGACAAGTAATTTAATAAAATTGATATTTATAAGCATTATATGTTAGAGAGATCTTGATAATCTGATGACAATAAACATTTTAAATCATTTTATGTAAATAATTTTAAAGCGAAAAATATTATCTAGCGCGGCCCGAATAATAACGCAGCTTCAAATATATTGTAGTAATTAAATTTATATTCATTATAGAGCTTTGTAATACATTTAATTATTGCAAAAAATATTACCTCAGCCGGGATAGTTAAAAATATTTCCTGATATGGGAGAATTTGGGGATGACTGATGATGTTGAATAGACTGCGGAATCTTCTATAATTGGATAATTGAATAATCAGAACTCAAGTAGAGTACATTTAAATTGAGAGACAAATGGAAGGATAATTGATAAGTGGATAATTGAGATTTGAATGGGAAAACGCGCTCGTGCGAAGTTTGGCGGAAGAGAAGCTTGATCGCACACTCTTGAATCCATTCTACATGCAGCGATAATAGGGTCTACATGCACCAGTAGGTCAATATAAAAAGCACGTTGTATCGAGCAGTAGAATGCGAAGGTACCGAAGAATCGGCGGCGTTCAGTAACCCGTTCAAAAAAACGCTTCGAGTACAATGTGAATGAGTATAATGAAAATATATAGTCTTATTACAATTCGGACGAATAAAGCTCGAGTAATCGATGCATCGCCTGATTCTCGTTTATAAATAATAGAAAAACGATTCCATAACCCAATTATATTATTAAAAATTGCCGATATGAATAGATAAATTATTAAATTACAAAATTCCGGGCAAAATTTTTAGTTTTTCTCATCGTATCTTGCTTTCCTTTTGCAGCTTTAAAATTTTAATTCCTATACCTGAGAAATGTCCATGGAAAAATAGAAAAATATAGGGAACATCTTTGGAATACATATTGTGTGTCGTAAGGCAGCTCTACAGCGATCAAATCTCTCGCCCTAGATACGATGTATCCTCTGCAGATCCTACCAGTTTATTTCAGAGATCTCTCCAATGGAGTAAGGGGATGGATTGCTCCGATACCAAGAAAACGAAAAGATTTATATATATATTTTTATATACACACACACACGTATGTATCAACGAGAAAATTTAGAGTAAGTGTAGATAAAAAAAAAAAAAACTTTATCTTGGGAAAAGGAATGCGCGATTAATGTATTTCTTTTTTAGATGTTGCTCTCCACCCTATTTGGCGGGCGTCCGCCTGCACTCTTCTGCACCAATACCCAAGTTTCCGTTGACGCTACACATGTAGTGCGTCGCCGTTGTCCTCGTTCTCGCCGTCGTCGTCGTCGTCGACGAAGCCAGCAGCGCGAGCGAGCACACGAGCGCGCGTATATATATATATACACACACACACAACGCGCCGTTTCCATGCACCGTTGTATACGTGTGCATGCACAGGGGTGGCAAGGGTGAGATACTGAGATCTCGCGGGGATGGTGGGTGCCTTGGTGACGTCATTGCTTTAATCGTCAGTTGCGCAGAGACGGGGTTGGTCACCGCGCTACGTCAGAATGACGGGTCGAGCAAGCAGCAGCCGTTAAACCACCCTCTCTCTCTCTCTATCTCTCGCTCTCTCTCTCTCTCTCTCTCTCTCTCTCTCTCTCTCTCTCTCTCTCTCTCTCTCTCTCTCTCTCTCTCTCTCTCTCTCTCTGTCTCTCTGTACGGGCGGGCCGACGATCCAGGGGTAAAAAAATATATATCGTTCTAAATCTGACGATCTCGTATTCCTACTGGACGCCGTTGTTGATGTCGTCCCGTGGTAAGGTTACGCGCGCGCAGCATCCCTCTAAATCGTTTGCGTTCTCTTGTGCAGAGATACGCGAGCATGGGACAGGGAGCGGTGTCGTGAAGTGAGGCGGAGGGCGCGTGTCGTTGGCGCGCGCGTGGTGTCCGAGTGCCGGCGACGATGGCGAGCTCGGGCTCGGCGATCGACGGGGTCGGCGACGACGGCACAACGGGCGTGCCGGGCGGCGGACCCAGGAATCCCCTCACCTGCGGCGTCTGCCACGACTACTACAACGAGCCCTGTCTGCTCTCCTGCTTCCATACCTTCTGCGCCCGTTGCATCCACGGCCCGCATATCGACGGGACGGTCAAGTGTCCCATCTGCGGGTAGATAACAAAACATGTGACGCGATTTATCCAAAACGGTTGACATTTATTTGCATATACATGCGCAATGATATATTGATATTTTTTTTTTTTACTGCAGTTTAGATTTAAATTTCCATTTGTTTCATCTTGTGCGTAACGTTAAAGAATTATCTACAATCTTATAGAGTATTCTTCAGATTCGATGGTTCCAAAAGAAATCATGAATAATCAAAACGTTTTTCTATTCCGTTGCTTTTTATATATATTAATTGTAATATTATTGAATTATATATAATTTTCTTTACACTATTATAAGTATAATAATATGTAATAATGCTACATATACTATGTTATAATTATCCAGGCAACAAACACAGTTGAAGGATGGAGCACAATTACCACCGCCCGATCAGTTGATACGTCAATTAGTGGAACTGGCAAACTCTGAAAATCCACCATGTGCCAATTGCGACAAACGCGACAAATCCACTATGTTTTTCTGTACAACATGCGGTACGTTCATTAAAGAAAAGTCTTTCGATCAAAAGTTATATTCGGGATATAAAAGAATGTCATATATCGTATATGTTTACAGGACAGGCGCTTTGCACTCACTGCAGAGAACATACCCATCGTGCAAAGATGTTCTCCACTCACGAGGTGGTGCATATGAGCAAATGCGCCAAGGACACTCAACGTCGCTGTCCGAACCACGGCGAGCAGTACATAATGTACAGCCAGAGCGCCAAGTGCATGCTGTGCGCCACGTGCTTCCGCGACACGCCTCCGGATGCGCGGGTGCACTGCGTGGACATCGAGAGCGCCTGGCAGCAGGCCTCGAAGAAGATGGAGCGCGCGGTCAACTCCATTTGCGAGCTCCAGGCCGGCATCAAGGACGGCGTGCTGGCGCTCAAGTCACAGCTGGACGAGCTGCGGCACAGTCTCGAGTCCGAGAAGCGCGCGTTGACCGCCTTCTGTCAAGGTATGCAGGAGGCGATCAACAAGACGCACGCGTACGTCCTCGCGGAGTTGCAGCGTCAATTCGACAGTAAGGAGCGCATGGTGCGTACGCAATTGCTTACGCTGGGTAGCGCGCTACCCGTCCTGCAGATGCATTTAATGCTGTGCACCGCGTTCACCACTGGCGCGACCAAATATCAGTTCCTCGAGCTGGCGCATCCGATGCTGGAACGGCTGAGCCGCGTCGCTCAACTGGGCCACCCGTCGCGGCCACCTCTGCTCGCTGCGCACATCAAGACGAATTATCGGGTCGACTTCGCGCGTGCCTTACATCCGTACATAGGTCAAGTGCAGGTACCGAAGGTTACCGCGGAATCTCTATACGATCAGATGGCAGGCGGTCATACGATAGGCCAGCCGGACCCACAAGTGCTTCAGGTACGCGCAGGATTTGGTCGACGTTATCCTCCGTCCGCATCGTAATCGTCCTTCATCTTTTCGCGTCACAAATTTTCTTTCTGGAATCTATAAGTTATCGCTTGTATTGTTTAAATTCTTTAATTGTATATGAAATTGCTGATACATACCCGATTCGTGTTTTACGCCAGGAATATGTTTTCCCAACAGAGCAGCAAGGTCACTCAAAGGCTGCCGCCGAAGAGCGGATCTGATAGCGGCCCGTTCTCCAATCACTGTCGGACTTTTGACTCCCAGCTGAAGGAACTAAGTCAACAGTTGATGACTGTGAAGGAACGATTGGGCGAGTTGCAACGGGACGTTTCCGTTTTAAAGAGAGCAAACACCCCGCCGTTGGGTACGCGTTACGATCATGTGGCAAGGGATTGCCGTGTGCTCGAGCAACAATTGGAGCATCATCAAATGGAATTGGAGCGACTGAGAAACGTTTTCGACGCTCTCTGGGAGGAACAGATGTGCAGAATTCACATAGAAAAGGAGATTTTCCATTCTCAGGTATAATATGTTCTCCCAGCCAAAGTGTTATAGCCTCGCGTTTGCATTTCTCCGCCTTTTTTTTATTATTTACTCTCATGCTGTTTCTGTCTCCAGATGAATGACATCTTATCGTTGAGGAGCGAAGTGAAAAAGCTGCAAGTGCTCGCTCAGCATCTGGAGCCCTTCGTCAAGTCGTTCTCGATAGGCATCGGCGCTGGAGAAATGAGTGTGGCCGCGGCGGACGCGGCCGATAATCAACACCTACAAGCGTTGCTGGATCATCTGGCGCGCTTACAGATGCAGGAACCACCACCGCATCCACAGGCTCAAGCACCGACGAAGGATCATCGTCATCCACGTAGCACTGCCACGAGTGCCGACAACGCGTTATACATGAAGGGTGAGAAAGCATCTCTCATCGAATGTGTTGGATCGTTCCTTGGAACGCGCGTTCACGATAAAATAACGAAGACACATCGAGAGAATACTCGCATGTATGTTTAATTTAATTGATTGTACGTAGAAACGAAGGAGATTCCGACGCGATGTCGTACGCCGTCCGGTGGTGTTGGCGCCGTTTTGGACTCGAGCGGCAACATAGTCGTGTATGGGACGGCCAAGTCAACCGATCCGAAGCGGGGCATGCTCAGTCAATTGATCGAGAAGGCCAGAACGCAAAAGGACGATCGTAAGAAATCGCCAGGCAGAGAGGACGGCCGTGATCGCAGTCAGAGCCGGCGTTCGCGCAAGTCGCCAGACAGTACGAAGCCGAAGACGCCACCCGGGCACTCATCCGGCAGCAAGATGCGATCGTTGTATCGTTCCCTGAAAGGCGGAGCCGGCGACACTTCCGCCGAAGCGCTTGATCAGGCGGAAAGATGCACCGACTCGCAGCAGCCACAGTCTCATATCGGTAAGAATGGGAGAATCGCAGGATCGTCGTGCTCAAACGAATACTGATACATTATGACACGCAGGTCTTCCTTTGTAGTCCATCGGGGCGAAATTTCGCGGGTTTAGACTTAGAGGCGATAAACATCCGCCAGCCGAATACGTAAAGTTGCTCGTCGTTCACCGCCCACGCTTATATATACACAATATATACAACATATGTAAATATATTATGTACATTTAACGAAAAATATGTCGATATATGTTGACCCACATGTAATCTATCGCACATTTACCATCACGAAGTTAAGTGTCTTGTCGTCGTCGTCTCGCAGCGAACTTTTGTATACATCCGCTGCGTTCGAAGAAGATGAGACCGTCTTCTAAAAGAGTCCCGTGCTTCCAGCAGGCGACGAGGGCGAGTATCAACGAATCTCGGAGGCCTCAAGCATGAGCGAAGCGAAGAAGCGCGTGCAGGCGCAAGTGCACGCGGTCCCGAGTGACGAACAGATGCGGGCGATGCCAAGCAGCAAGGTCCCGAAGATCTACCCGGCCAGCGACTCCGAGGAGTTGTTCTACGGCGACGGGAAGGATGCGAGGAGGCGACGGCGCGCCAGCTGCGACAGTCTGAGCACGACTGGTTCCGGGAATAGCAGGCGGTCGAGCATCGCCGATGGGACGGTAGGTCAACAATCCATCGCACAGGACCCCCGGAAAGCTCTGGTCGTTTTGATCGGATCACGGACGTCGTCGTCTCTCATGCAGAAACAGCGTTCCTGGGAGACCTTCCCGCGGCCCAAGAGCAAGCGTGGCGCTGGTAGCGACGGTGGGGGTGCTTCATCCCTCGGTCAACTGAAGAAAGCGGACAGCTTTGAGGGCCACGAGGAAGCGGTGCGCACCTTGGTACAGGCCGTACAGGAGACGCGCTCTCAGCTACGACATCACCATTTACATCATCATCGTCACCATCGTAAGAGTAAAACGAATTGAGGCGCTTTTTCTCGTTCTCGCTCCCTTCGCAACCCTCCCCCTTCTCGCGCGTCAAAATTACATAAGAAAATATTGTCCGAGGGTATCGAATAGATACCCATCCGCGAGCCTATTGCGTATAGATAGAAAAGAAATGAAAAAGAATGATCAAAAGACTAAATGCCATGCCCTAAGTGGCTTAAGTATAAATGTTATTTATTAGTAAAGAAAGCGTATTGTTGTGAGAGCTGACATATTATCGGTTTTTCGAAGATTTTGGACATTCTACTAGTATAATGATAATAATAATAATGGATATATAAATATAATAAAGGTAATGAAAAAAAGGTCTATATTCTGCGCGATACGGAAAATTAGAAATCTTCGTTATCGAGAGGTAATCTCTCCGTCAAGTGCGCTCTTATCTTTATATTACTTTTCGAGATTCTTTTAAGATCCCGATCAAACGCGTGGTATTTGTATTAATCCAACATTTTTGACGTTTATATTGTGTCCCTCGTCGAAGTTGTATCCCGTACGACAACGTACAATTCTCGCGAAGTACGTTTTATATAGCAATTTAATTACATTCGATAATGAAAGCGTCGAAGATCGGTATCGATTTCACTGTAAATGCAGACGGATTAGAGATGGAAGAGAGTATGATTTACGTCTGCTACTCGTATTGTTGACAAGGTCCGCCTGGGACGGTTGATACGCGTAGAGCCTTGATTAAGGAAGATAAAACGTTTTTTCGAACAAAAACGCGCATGTGCAATGTACAATAATTGCAAAAGAACCACGGTTGACGTTACAATCTAAACTGTATATACGTGTAGACGAACGTCTATTTCATTCCGAGCGTACATTGTTTCGATTTCGTTATTATAAGAGTCCTGTTCGCGTATTCTCGGTTCTTCGTTAAAATATGCGAATCTATTCTCCCACCGTACCCATACACGCGATTTTCACCTTGAACGTCAACGGGTCGGATGCATAGTCCAGTAAAGTACACGTCGCGCGATTCGATCAGTCAAGTAAAACGGTAATACTTAGCTAGTAAACAACACTGCCAGTCACGATATATTATGAACTTAATCGACGATACTCGATTCGCGAAGAATAGCCTAATTCGAGCGTTTCTCTCGTAATCGCCATTACGTAAAGCCATTAATAAAAATCCAGTGATCGCCCTATGACGCGTGGGCTCATCATGCGTGATTATACAATTATTGATTGTAATGTAATGATAACGTTATTCCAAATAAGGGGCGCAAGGAAAATCGGTGTTACGAGGAATCGGCTCTTCCTTGTGAAAGTCAATGCGATCGTTAATCGTTGTTTCGAATTTAATTACGAGCGGAGATTTGTAATCTTCAGCAGGGTTACGATGAACGTTCTAATTATAGCGAATGTACACACGTAAGCATGTATGAGAAATGTCGATTTGCTGGTATAGTAAAATATATACAAGTTATAATAAATATACCCTTGATTTATATACCGTATCTTGGTGTATTGAAAGCGACGTATGAACTTTGTTGTTCACTTCAGTTTTACAAGTATCCACAGTTATTCATACATGTATAAAAAAAATATGCATATTCCACTTGTTGAATTTTACAGGCAAGCTGTAAAGCTTGTGAGCTTCAATGGATAAAATACGAGAAAACATTTTGGCCTCCGAGATGTTTGCATTTTTTTTGCAGTATTAATACAGCGGCAATATATAACAATTTCCAATTAATCTGATAATTGATTGTGATATTTTACACATATTTATTTAAGGCTAATATACGTAATTATCGACTTTATGTACACTTCTCTTCTATTTTCACATATTATAATACAGTACACACAATCGACCGCAATAAAAGTTTTCTTTCCGTCGTTTCTTCTCTTCTTCTCAGGTAAAATGTCTCTACATTTCTGGCACCACCACTAGATAATACCAAATTATTGGTATAAAAAGGAAAAAGTCATGCAGAAACATTATACATACAGCATACGTATTTCTGCAGAGATAAAGTAAATATTTTGTCGCTACTCGTTTAGGTATCATACTGTTTCTTCCTTTTTTGTCTTTGTTTCGTCAATATTAACTTCGCTAACTTCGAACTTATCAGAAATTTCGTAGGAATTGTCTTCCGAGTACTCTTCGATATTCTTCGTTTGTTCTTTCGTAGTATTCGATTTTTTCAGATTTACTATGTTATCATTATTCATTTTCAATAAAGTCATGATACCCCAGCTGTTACTTTCAAATCTTTCGGTGGTCTCTAGCATGTAGATCGCGTCGTGCGACTTCGAAATTATGCGATTCAGCTCGTACAGACTTACGTTTTTGCAAACGTTCAATGTCGTTTCTAAAGGATTGGTAATATGAAGCGCAGAGCGTGACGGTTTTCGAATCTGTACACCCTCGCGAATGCATATGCCATACATTTGAAAATCAAATGTCGAATAATACTCAAAGAAATCGTATAAAAGCGTCTCCAGACTGTCCTGATTTGTCTTATATTTGTAATCGGGTGGCAATTTGCTAATATCCCGCAGGAAGGTGCAATCGATGCCATTCTCTGCGCAACGAACGTCATCGCTCGCTGTATAAAAGAAAAAAAGATGCAATTTACTAATCGCACGTCATATAATTCTTTTTGTTTATAATATATGTGACTTACTTGCATACAGCTTTAATGTTTTTAAGGACGGCAATATCTTCTTTTGTTGTAAAAAGAACAGCACTAACAATGTAAGGGGAAAATTTGTTATCCACTGTCCTGGTACGTCTAATGTTAATTCCTGACTCTTCGCCCATACTCGTATTGCTATAACAAGCGGTCTTACTCGCCAATCCATTTCTCCGTAAAAATTCAATAATTCGGTCATATATATAGCAGTCCTGTAGAAAAGATCAGTATTGACGTTTTTGTTTTTTTAACCCTTCAACTACAGTTGAAATATGAAAATTACGTTTTAAAGTATCCTATTTAAATTACAAAATATAAATAAATCTTCGGCGATTGATAAAGAAAGGTTCAAAAAGTTTTTTTTCTCTACATTTAGAATCTCAGCACTAATAGATATAGATTGTATAACTGCCTAAAATTTGTTGCTTTGAGTTTAAACAATCCGTTGCTGTAGTTGAGGATTCATTATGAAAAAACAAAAAATCTCAGGTGAAACTAAAATGTTTAGACTTACATATTTGTTGCACTCAAGTCACATTCAGTAAATGTGTAGTTATAACGAAATTTGATTATAGGTACTCGAGCCTCCAGAATCCTTCTTACATTAAGAATTCCAGGAATGAAATGCTGCATGGTGTTTGCGAGTATTCCCAAAAATTCTTTCGTTTCATTCCTATCGCTATTGTTCATAGACTTTGTGTGAAATACCAATCTACTCATGAAATCATGCTACAAATGTTACAATCCATTGGTATGTAGGATTAAGTACGTAAACATTTAATTAATTCAAACATTATTTATATATTTACTTTTCTAGTGTCATCAGGAACAAGAACTAAATCAAGGTCACACCTTCTTCTTCCAAAACCATTTAAAGAAGAGCCAAATGGCAGAACTTTTATATTCTGAAATAGTCTAGAAAAGTATTGCTCTAAATGATGAGCAGTGTGAAATCTCAGTCTTATCTCTAAATCAGTTAATTTCATTGTCTCGTAAAGAATTATTATCTGCCCTGATATCTGCAAGGGTTACGAGTTTTATGAAGCTAAATGTTTTGAATAATCTTAACTATGACATCATGAGCTTACCGATTTTGCATTATACAATAGCTTTGCTTTCTCTGCTTCGGTATGTAATGGACAACCATTTTCTACAAATAAAGGTAACTTTTGCTGATTATTTTTCTGTGAAGTAGTACTTTGTCCTTTACGAAACCATAATACCGACGACTTTACAGGAGTAATATATCCGTTTGCAAAAGAAGCAGACGACATAACTTGATTTATCGACACTGTATCTTTAAACTCAACCAAGATATAATTCTGAAATTAATCACAATATGGTACTTTTCTAGCACAGTATTTAATATTAAAATGTATTAATATTGTACTTAATTTTAGATAAATATTAAATAGTAGTTGACATACTTGTTGATTATTTATGTGGTAGTGGTGCATACTCAAGACGTTTCCAAACTGTAAACAATAATTATGGAGATCATTGTATGATCTCGACGAGTACACTTGTATTAATAAGCTTCGACATGCTTGATTTCTTCGTCTGGTGATTTCAGCCTCGAGTGTGCTTTCTGCAACTGCCAGATATAAATTTTAAAAACAGATGAATAACTGTAGTTTATGAAAAAGATCGGTTTAGTTAGAAGATATTGATTCATGCTACATTCTCAGCAATTACGTTAAAGTTAGTAAACTGTTTGAAAAGGACTATGTAATAGATCTGTTCATTTTAGCTGAATTTCTTACAGTTTTTCTTTTTTCTCCGACATAAAAAGAAAAATAAAAGATGAACGGAGTAAAAAGTTCAGTTAAAAAGAACGGGCCTTGTTATATTATTTCTTTTCGCTTATCGTCACCGAGTAATAAACTTCAACGTGCCTTCAACCTGTTCTTTCAGGTTATGTAGCACAATACTTCTTGACCTAAGTATAGTTTATTATTTTATCACTTTGGCTATTTTATAATAACCTCGTGGAACAAAAGTTCATTTGAATATCTATAATTTCTCATTTTAATATTTCCAATATTATTACTTTATATTATTTGTAAGCTTATAGGTTATATGCTAAATGTATCATGTGACATACCTTGTTTATTGTTTTTATGTTGTGTGACAGTTGATGTTACCGAGATGCGACCGCGCGATTTTAATCTACTTGTGCCCATTATAAACTTTTTGCAATAACAATGACTTAACAACGAAAAGGTATTCGAATTAGCACGACCAAAGAGCGCCATTTTTAAATGTGCACATAGCTCCGTATACAGCGTGCAGCGCGTACCGCGCACATGTGCGAATAGAATGAAGAGCTCCGTTCTTTATTGCACTCTGATTCTGAACTGGTGCACATGGTGCAGATAAGTTGAAGTAAAACAAATATACGTTCGTTTCATTCCATTTCATTCAACTTATATTGCACAGTGTGCACCAGTTCAGAGAGTATAGAAGTAAAAAACAAATTCAACTGCATATTCTACACATTCTACATCATGCTCTACTGTATGTACAATTAAGATAGCTGCGCTTAGAAAAAAAAATGTGCTTTTCCTTTCATTCTTTGACTCTACCTTTCGAATTGATGACTTTTGCGAACTTAAACTTTTATTGATAATATTATAACCAAGGTCGATATAATTATTTATGATTGATAAATTTGCCAGTGATTTTGTCGACTGTCTATATAAATTCATTTATAATTACCAACGTCAGTTATCGATAAAGATTTAATTTAATAAAATATCGATAAGGAATATCAGGATAATCAGAGTAATTAATAACAATGAAATTGATTAACAATAAGATGGCACTAATAGAATTTCAAGAATTTTTTTCAATTCTGAATTTTCAAACCGCATATAGAAGCTTAAATTTTTAAAAACATCGACAAAATATTAATTTTTTTTACATTTTCTCCAGATACGCAACAATGTATCTTGAACACATTATTACTGTGCGGCAATTATAATTGTAGTTTGATGATTTAATGATGATTAATCGGAAATTTGTGACAGCTGTGTTTTCCTATTGTGACTCGCGGTGCAATATATATGTACGTCCGATAGTGGGACATGATAACGGCAGCCCGATAGGCGATAACTGAGACTGAATTGCGCCACTTATGTGAGAGATGACCGTTGTGAGAAATGATCATCTGTGATTTTTTCTTCTGACCCAAGGAAGCATAGATAATGTGGAAACTAGGCATACACGAGCTCACACATCCAGAATCGCTGTCAGAACACCAGCTTCGCGAGATTCTGGAAAACGTAAGTTGTAGGTTAGACGTGTTTACAAATTCTCTTGACTTATTCGTAGCTCTTTTCTACTTTCGTATCCGATTTCATTGAAAAATAATTCAATATACGTGAAAGTCATTATCTGAATTATTTCAAACTTCAACGAATGTTAATATGATACAAATTTAAGTTAAATGCCATTCAAAGTAGACTTTATGAATTGTTTTTATATAAATTTTACAAACCAAAATAACATACTTTAAATTATCTGTAGAAAAACAACGATGATATATGTTTGTTTATTGTTATGATTAATAATCGTTATAAAATTTTAGTTATATTTTTCATAGTGTCTCAACATCTTCATATCTTTTTTTTATTTTTATAGAGTTGTATTCAGAATCTTAAATTTGAAAAACTACGTAAAAGTGAATTACTCGAAATGTATAAACGAGTTGCAATGCCTTTACCTCAGCGGCAACGTGGAAATGCAAAAAACACAGTTGATATGACAACAGAAAATTCTGTTACAGTTGTAAGGTAAGTTTTTTATTTAAGTAAAAAATATTTTGTTTAGGTGTAAAGAATATCTTGAGTAAACTAACAGAGAATACATGTTTTAATGTGTTAACATTAAACTTGTCTTTCTTTTAGTGATAATGATACATGTAGCTTAGCTATAGATTTGAACAAAGGAAATAAGAGGATATTCCAAACATCTCATCCTCAGATAGATTTATTAAAACCTTCCTTTAATGATCAAAAGTCAATGAGCAAGAAGATTCGATTATGTTCAACGCCAAAAGTGGAAATTGGATGCAATGGAATTTATAAACGCAATTATGGAGAACAGAGTGAGGTATATGTATATATATATCTTATTTCTTTGTTAATAAGTCTAAATGAGATAAGTCAAATGAGTCTAGAGATAAGGTAAGAGACTAGATAAAGTTAGAGTTTTCTCTTCAACAAATAAGATTTTGAGATAAGATTTTATATCCAACATACAAGTTTGCAGAATTAAGTATTTACATAAAGTCTGTTTCTATTGAAGTGTGATATTTTATGAGTTTTATACTATAATCTTAATTTGTAAGTAAATAACAGCAGATGTATTTGAACCTTTCAGGAATCACTGCCGAAAAAACGTCAGAAGATAACATGGCCTTAAGCGATAAGAGAAATATATGCCCTATTTTTTTTTATCCGTTATAGAAATTTAATTTTAAGTAGTAATATACTAATACAATAATTTCTATATTGCATGATTAAACCTTACAATGTTTTGCCAGTAAATGAAGATTAGTTGCTAATCTTGTCTTTAAAATATTTATGAATGCAAACAAATCGTTTAATACTTTGAATCATACTGATTTAATCAGATTGATTTGACTAATAACTTTTTGTGTTTTTCGATAATTTTAATGTTTAAATAATGTAAAAAGATAGATTTTATGTGATTCTATAAGTAGGTCTATATAATTTACTTTGTATAACTTTTATTATACAATTTGCGTAAAGAAATCGGAAATTGTATTAGATACGATTGTTAAATTTGGCAGCTGGCGATACATACAAAAAGGCTTACATATATAACATATATTTAATATATGTATCTCTGCATTGCTGTGTCAGTTTATTTTTAATTTAATCGGACACTCGACAATTGTATATACATGACAAAGTCATTTTGAGTGTTAGGACACTGAATCAACAGTATTTGATACTAAATGAATTGACATAGACGTGCGTTTGTCAAGGTAATCTTATTGTTTTGCGACATACAAAAATGTAAACAGTATTCAATAACAATTAAGTTACTTAAAACGATCTTTTTGTTATGTCATTTTTAATACGTAATATCGCTCGCTCTTATTCATATTATATGCACTGATCATGTTATAATAAAGTGGAAATATCGTTAACGATTGTAAATGTAAAATATACATACACATATTAGGTCTGTTCTTTGTAACTGCGTTATTCATTTTCTATACTTTAAATAAAATAAATATTTAATTAAAGGTTGAAGAAAAGGCACAATTCAGCTATAAAGAACATAAATCTGGAGACACGATAGTGCATGCCAAGCGCACGACACTGCCGTGCCTCCTTTACGCGAATCTGAGAAATTCAGGGGATTGAGATTTATTATACCGATTAAAGTTTGTATTGCGCAGGATCTATGCAGTGTACGCATCATCTTTTTATGTGCAACATTAATCGATAAAATTTAAGTCATCCATTCATTGTGTGAATAAATGATCTTAATTATTTTAATATTGAATAAAAGTATCAAAACATGGACATGTGTTTATCATATATGTGTGGCAATACTGACATAATATTAGAATCTATTCACAGGAAATAGCCTCTTTTAAAGCTTCCATTAAAAAAACACTTATATAATCCTAAAAAATTCCAATATACCGTTAACTTCTTTTCTCCTTTAAATATTTATAAAAAGATGTAATTCGGATGTAATTACCGAACATTCTATCATATGTTTGACATAATCCATTTAGCTTTATGTAATACAATATCTACAATTAATTATATACGGAATTTATTTTCAAGATATAACAAAGAAAGATAAAACGAAGAAGCATCAGCGATATTATGTTGCGTAAGCAAACGAGAGTGGTTTGTGGAGTTGTTTCACGGTCATGATCAATGTTCGTCCTCGTTAATTTATATACATATATATATATATATATGTGTGTATATATATACTGAATGATTCATTTTTGTTTATGAAGGAAGGAAAGACGAGACGAAGATGATTCACGTGCCTAACGAATCCGTAATCTCGGCGGCGATCGGTACATCGCATTTTTATGATGCAAGTTGAAGTCTTGGGAACTCCCTGAGATTTTAAAATACACACGTAAATACTCCATCGAATTATTATTCAGATAATTATTTCAAATACAAAATAAAAAGAGAGTAATAACATTAATAAACTATTATTTTTTTCGTTTCTTTGTACCTTGCAATTCATTATTAGTATTTTCACTGCGTACACTTTTTTTGTATTATATCTGAAGAGGATTTAAACTTAAAGCCGGAACATGTAATTTTTATGTATTTTTTGTAGCTTTATTAAATTTTTTATTTATTATTTATAAATGTTTATCATAATTTTCGAATATTTCTTGTTGACTCTTATCGCCTTTAATATCACACAATTGTTACTTTCTAATATTGAGAGTTCTTTATTTTCTTATTCATTAATAAATATTTAATAACAAATAAATAAAGAATTAGAATTGGAATTCTTTTATTTTATGGAAAGGAAAGAAATGAAGGGGGACTTTTGATTAGGTCATTCTTTATTCATTATGTTATATGCATTATGTAAAACTTTATGCTCTCGCCATACGATTTCACGGAATTCTTATTATTAAATTTAATTCTTAACTGGAGTAGGTTCATTGGACTTATAATATACACTAGTTAAGGATCAAAGAGCCTTTATGTAGTATTATTTTTATAACACCAATTAAGGGTTAATTATAAATATTAACGAATGCGACGACTGTGTGTGTGTGTGTATCGCACGTTCTTATCCGAAGGCGAAATACGGGACTCTTCCGAAAATAAATCATCCTCATATTTGATATTCCCGGTCCGTCACCTCCCGTGGCGGAAGCGTTACATTTATAGCCAGTACCAAAATCGCCAGAATTACGCAAGGGTGAAAGCACCGCCGTGTATGCTGTTGCATAGAAGAATTATTGGTCGCGTTCATCTCGTTTCCTCACGCCTCGCAGCCGCATAATCTTCCCGATCTCGAAAAACGCTCGGCGTTAAATCACACACGTCGTTTTCTCTATCTTTAAATCTGCTTTCGAAAATCTCCTGCTGAAATGGTGGTGTGTCTCAAAACTACATAATACATATATACACCCTCGTCAAAATCTACACAATATTTGAAACTGGTTTTTACACCGCTCGCATCTTAACGCCTCGCGTGCGTTATAATTTTTACAGAAGAGAGGTAGTTCAAATAACTTCGTTCACGAAAAAAAAAAAAAACCGCCGATGAGCGTGATGTATTTATTTGCTCGTAGCGTTTATGCAATAAAATTAACATTCCATGACTGCATCTGAACGCGCGGCTCCCGAGACATTCCGTGAATGGTGAGCGCGATTAAGCGATGCCGTGCGGAATTTAATAAACCGGCCAATTCGGCGCTCAAGAGACTTTCTTTCTTCCTCGTCCGGTATACATATGTATGTATATCGGCGAGTCATAAATCGAGAGCGAAACTTCTGTCATCGCATCACGTACTACGCTACTTCGAAGGCTGCTTGCGATGCAACGAGGGATGCGTCAGGCAGCCGCTGACCACCCCGATGCTGCTATAAATACGTTTGTCACCGCTTGTTCGAACGTCAGTCTCGTTTGCGACACGTTTACCGATACACAAAACCATATTGAACGGAAAATGGCCATCAAGGTACGCCAAAGGATCACATCGAATTCATGTATTCATTTAAACGCTATTACAAACTTTGAATGTTTCTCGTGCAATATTTGGCTATTATATTTTATATTGTTTGAATATTTGAGAGACACTAGTTACATTATATTAATGCTTTATATCATATTACAGTTAACAATCTTAGCTGGAGCAGTGCTCGCGATATGCAGAGGCGCGGTCATCCCATCGTTAGCTTTCCCAGCTGTTCCAGCAGTTCCAACTGGCCCAGTCATTCCGACTACTCTGGCCGCACAGCCGGCTTTGCCAGTTGCTGCAATTGATGCCACAAATTACGATCCTCATCCTCAGTACAGTTACTCCTACGATGTCCAAGATATATTGACTGGTGATGCGAAGAGTCAGCACGAGAGCAGAGATGGTGACATCGTCAGCGGCAGTTACAGTTTCATCGAGGCCGATGGTACCAGGCGAATCGTCGAATATACAGCTGATCCCGTGAACGGATTCAACGCCGTGGTCCGTCGGGAGCCTCTGGCAGTGGTGAAACCCGTCGTTAAGGTTGCCCCGTCCCCGCTCATTTATTAGTCCTGAAGGATGTGCGATAATGGCTGTTCATAATGGAAAGAACAAATTTATTAAAATGTTCACAAATTAGCTAAATACAGATTAAAAAATAATTCCCAGCAAACAGCTGACGTTATTTTGACGTCAAAATGCTATAAAAAGTTTTGTCACTCTAACCAGTTTTAGCGTCCTATGTAATTATTTTCACAGATCTGTATATCTATAGCTAAATTTTTATATACTTTAGTAAAACCGTTCTTTCCGTGTTTATAGGACGAAAACTAGTCACACTATATATATTGTATTGATGTTGCTGCATGAAAATCGTTAATTGTTAATGTATGTTTTTTATTAAAGATTTTTTTACAAACTATGTGCGAATTAATTTTATCATAACTTCGCTATCAGATTACGTGTCCAATTTTTACTTTGTATCTGTGGACCGTTATCGCGAAACGTGTTTCATAAATTTGTATTTTCGTAAATTTTTCGTGAGTTTATATGAAACAAGTTCGTTTGCAATGGACAAATTAATATTATGCGGATAAAGTTGCTAAGTTATGTAATGGCGTGTAAATTTCGCGAACTCGGGTTATAAACTCTGGCTCTCCTTTGTGAATATAACCGTGAAAGTGTACAGATCATCAGATTATATACACGTATTGACACAAAACTTACAAGCGACAAATTTATATGGAATATGTCGTATACTATACTGTGATATTTATATTTTACATATTACATAGGAATCTCTAGAGAAATACATATATTATTGCAAATTTAGTTAGTTTCAAGATTTGAGGAGTGAAACAATTTTTGAAATTATAATTTAATCTGTTTATATATATATATATATATAATTTTGAACTTTTTCATTAAAATTGATGTATAAATATGCTAGCAAAATGAGATATAATAAAAAAATCTTTCAAAAGTAAAATAAAGAAAAATTTATATAATTTTTGATATCCTTTGTAATTACATAAGATTTAAAAAAAAATATATTTTTTAAATAAAATTTTTTTTTAAAAAAGGTTGCCTTCTTGCCAAAAAAAATTAATAACGTATTAATTATGAATGATTTTATATTATATCGTCAAATTCGTCTTGATGGCGACTATTAGTTTATATCTAAAATATACATTCTTCTAAATAAAAAATATATATAAATGTTCTCATTTATAATAAAAAAAAAAGTAAAAGAAATAAAAATAATAAAAGTGATATTTTGCACATGCGTTTTCAATGATTACTTGAAGTGACTTCAAGTATAAGTTTTAAAACAGATACATATATTACATTAAGAGATGTTACATTAAGTTTTGATCTTTAAAAAAAATGTTAAATTTACAAAAATGTTTACAGAAAAATCTTGACGTTTGTCCATTTTTAATTGAGATGTGTTCAAGATAACATATTCAAGATAAGATTGTATGTAGATTTATTGCTGTATAAAATATAAGTGAGAATTGTAGACTAGCAGCGACTAACGGTTACGCGAATGGTAATTAACGCAATAGTATGCGTCGATAGTGTTAGCAGAACTCATCGTCGCTCCTATAGAATATATAATAGATTCAACCGATTGCGGGATGTGGCTGTCTTCATACTTTCGTCGAACAGCCTTGATAGACCGTCTGTATTCGATATATTGGCACACAACACGTATGAATACGTGCATTGGATACGATTACGCGTATTTCGGTTATCAATTGCTCGTTCGTATCAGGTTTAGTGTATACATTAGGCAATACATTTGGCCATCTTTTTCCAAACATTACGGAGCTGATAATTTTAAAGCAGTTCTTCCTCTCAGAAAAGTTATTGCAAGAATTATATTCGTCAAGAAAACATTATCATGTATTCTTAAAAAAAAAGTTTATATATTGCATAAAAATGAAATAGAATAATATTTGATATTATGCAAGATTTTTTTTTGTTATATGTCACTGTTTTTAAATTACAGCTTTTGGCATTTTTTTTATCGAGATGTCATATCTGAAATTTGCTGTCAACAAAATTTCCTTTAATTCCAAAATGTAAATTATTCTGCTTTTAAAGCCTAATCTACAATATGCTTTTTGTTTCTTGCCTTTTATCTATTGTCTTTTTTTATCTTTGCGATCGTTCGATCGACAGTCGTGTTTTTTTCTTCTTATTTCGTCCCAAATCAATTAACTTTTATCTCGGACGACAAAGGAAATGAAGAAACAGAATAAGAGGCAAGAGATAAGAAGTAAAAAATAGGTCATATTTATCATTGGTTCTTATTTTAAGATCTATAGTCTTAAGATGCTATAATAGGATTTCGTGATTGGCTTGTGATATAAGATCGTTTTAAAATATAAAATACTGTACTTAAGATTGTTTTAAGTATAAGAAATATAAGAATCTATGAATACCAACCATATAGGAAGCATAATGTAAATTAGACTAATATGTACCGTTTCTCCTAGGTATGCATAATTATCTTATAGACAGTTAGAAAGGCGAGGAAAAAGAGGATGAGGGTCTCTCGGCAGCGTGTTCGGGATACACATAGTTCCCCGATTTCGTCGAACGGCCTCGAAGTCTCGGGTCTTCGGCATATTGGCATCCAAGTCGCGTGTACGAACGGACAGCGGTGATATGAAGAAACATATAAGCGCGCGTACATTGGTACAACCGCAGGTCGGACCCCCTTGTACATCGCAATGATTATCACGGAGGTCACCGTACGGCCCCCGAGAGGAAGACATAAAAAAAAAAGAAAGAAGGAGACAGAGGCAATGATTAGGTGGGGCGTAGGTGGCTCTAGAGAACATCATCGTCGTCAGATGACACAAAAGCGACTACGTATAAAAGTACGGACGATCTTACCCCGAGGTATCAGTCCTCTTCTGGTGATCCTCTTGCGCGCAAACATGGTCGACACGGTAAGGGAGAGAAGAGAGAAGCTGGAAGAGAAACTCAGGCATTTAGAATCTTCTTTTCAGCTCTTCTTTAAAATGACTGTGTCCGGAAGATTGTATTTCGTAATTGGTTCCCACACTTATCTAAATATTTCTAATTATCGTCGAATTACCAATGGTGTGTAAAAAGATCTTGATCACGTTCGATTTAGGCTCTCTCAGCTGTAGCTTCATTCTACCTTTACCGCTCATTACGTATGCGGAGAAAAGATGGAATGAAGTTTATAACACGTGAGCGTCAAAATCGAACGCAGCTGTTGTGGGACATATAATAGCTAAAATATATATCGATGCTGAAGCAATTCAAGACTTTTATTTCATGGAAAGGAAGGGCGGCATACAGGATTTTTCGATTGGTTAATTTTTTTATGGATTATGCTCTCGCTCTTAAGATCCCGGAGACTCGACGGGGTAATTGAAGCGTTGCTGATTTCACATTAATTTTCAGTTCTTTTTCTTTCTTGGACTGGCGGTGCTCGCTCGAGGGGCGGTGGTACCCGCCGTCCCAGCGGTCGCAGCGGCGGTGCCTCTGGCGAAGCTGGAGGAGTTCGACCCGGCGCCGCAGTACAGCTTCGCGTACGACGTGCAGGACGCGGTGACCGGCGACTCCAAGGCTCAGTACGAGACCCGCAACGGCGACATCGTGCGCGGCAGCTACAGCCTGATCGAGGCCGACGGTACGCGTCGCATCGTCGAGTACACCGCGGACCCGATCAACGGCTTCAACGCGATCGTCAGTAGAGAACCGGTGGTCGCCGCTATCGCGGCACCAGTATTGCCGCTCAGACCAGCCGCGTTGACTCCAGTTGCCGCACCGGCAGTACCCGCCGCTGCCCCGGCGCCGTCGATTCCCGCCGTCGGGCCCGATTCCGATGTCGAGGTACTCGACGCTCGGTCGGGTCCCTTAAAAGTGCAACCAACGACGCGCGAGCGGGAGATCCAACGTCAACAGCTGCAACAGTTGCAGCGGCTACGGGAGCAACAGCAGCAGCAACAGGAACAGCAACAGCTGCGACAACTGCAGCAACTGCAAGAGCAGCAGAGACGGCCGTCGAAATTACGGATCCAACAGCACCAACCACAAGAACAGCAGCAGGAGCAACAGATCGCGCGACAATCCGCACGGATCGTCGGACAGACGGCTGGACAAATCGAACGACAAGTCGCCAATCCTCAATTGATCGGTCTCCCAGCTACTGCCAAGGCGATAGCCACGTATCCCGCTTACCCTTATGCCGCATACAGTGCTGCGTACTCCTCGCCGTTCGCCTATGCCGCACCCCTCAATGGCCTGGCTTATACCCCCGCCGCCGCGTTGACGTAAATCATCAACTCGTATCTACCTCGAATTATTGTCATTCCGTGTTATTTGTTAAGATTATTGACGACAAAAACTAGAATAAACTGTTTGCCATGAGTTACTTATACATGGTGTACGCATCATCTTGTTTTTTCCCGACTCTCTGTTCCCTTTGTATTGAAATACAGTAAGTGTAAACTTTTAACGTATAAGAATTGATCAATTGCAAAGAAGTGTGAGAAAATAATGACTATGAGTAATCAACTTCTTAAAGTTTTTACTATATCTATTGTTTTGGGACTTATAAAAAACACTATTGAAATGACGCGAGAAAAAATTATTGAATATAATTGGAAAACACAAAATCGAATATCATACACTATTCGTTCCAATTTTTCACTAATCCGATAGTATATTTTTCCATAAAATTTCTCTAATTGACATCTATGGCGTGTACTTTGGCTGATATTCATACTCCATTTTTATATTTAAGACTATCTTAAGTATACGAATCAATCAAAGGACCGTGTTAGCAGCTCAAGACATTACTTAAAACGGTCTTGATATAAGTACAGATTATACGAATCCTGGCCAGTGATAAATTTATGACATCAAGACTTAAAACGTGTTTTAAATAAGAACCGACTATAAATACTGGCCTTAATTTGTTCTAACCGGAAAACACGAAGAAAGTGTAATTGGCCGAAATGATAAAAGACCGCTGACGAGACGGTCAATATATCTTGATTGATTACGTACCTTAGGCCACAAAAACTGGGTGGCATGTGCGCAACAAGTAAAAGCGACGAACTCTGGATGTACCGATGCGTCGATCAATGTCATCAACGTCGCGAACCGACCGCGAGTCGGTCAGCTGTCATGTTGGGGCTCGATCCATCCAGCACAGCGTTCGGTATTACGTAAGTCCCGGGGCCTGTTGTTACACGCACCTGGGCCCCTGTGTCGTGTTTACGCAACAATATGCCACGCATGTACGTATAATACACGCATGCACGTAAGACGACCTTCGGCTACGCGCGTCGCATTTAATTTATGAAAAGGAGATCATTATTACGACCATTAGTCCACAAATCATAAAAACATGATAATTGCAGTATTCATCCTCGGAATGTCTTCATTTTGCTCTTGATTGGTAGTTTGCGATAAAAAGAACCCTTATGTTTTTATAATACGTCATTATCCCTCCCCTACGTCGCCGACTTTTCTTGAAAAGGGTATATTTATACGTAACCATGACACATGCACAGAAATTATCTCAATTATCGAACGAAACATTTTACATTTCAGAGAATTATATTCTGCGTAATATACACTTAATTTTTTTCAAAACGCAAATTTGTTTGTCATAAAAAAAATAATTTTTTATTATCGAGAAAAGTTATACATCGATATATACACACACACATATATATATATATATATATATATATATAGA